CTAGGAAATCCTTCAACACACAAATTTGTAGGGGGTGGAGAAGTGGTGCTTGAATTGGAAAAAGAAATCAAGCACCTACTTCTATTTTCAGCACAAGGAACAAACAGAGCAGGGGGGGGAAACAAAATCACCTCTGCAAACAACACAGACAAAGAACCAAACTGCCCCCCCTCATGTTTCAGGAGACCTCTTCAACTGATTTCAATGGAAGCAAGCTGGATTCCCATTCCACCTGCTAGCCATCTACGCAAGGTGCAGTTTGGGAACTAAGCACCTTACGTAACTGCGTATTTTCAGCCCTACATACATAAATGCTTCCTCTATCATGCAGAAGATATTTTTGGATCTGCTAAAATGCTACTGTGTTCTTCCAGGGCTTTGCATTCTTCTGCTCAGAAATTGCATAATCTGATGCCATAGGAAATAAGTGATGTTGCATAATGATTCTTCTATTCACTGCAGGATTTTGGTGCTCCACGTTTCTGGGGCACAGCGGGCCTTCTCTGTGTTCCTGACTTTAGGTCCTTGGTTTTTGAAGGACAATCCATCAGCTACATGCCTTTGGGAGGCGGAGGGTAAAAAACTAAGGACCACCTTACACTGCATTGTTACAAGAATTTCTCTTCACAAAAGTCAGTTTAACTCTGTACACTCATTTGCTACTTCTGTTTTCCCTCACCCTGGTTGTTTGCATGCCTTGAGCTATGACCATACATAAAGCACAGGGAGTTTCATATACAATGTCCTGAAGTCTAATTGTCCATAGATACCCTCCATCACAGCCTCATCAATACTATAGTAAAACATTTAGCTTGCATAAAAGACAGACTAAACTCTGATTAGCTTTTCATACTACTGAATTATGATTGGAATCTGCTCAAAATTTAGAAATGACCTTAAGTTACATTCTCCTCTTTCATCTTTCCAGCTGTCTTCATAGTATGAAACAACATTTAAAGTCCAGTCACAGACTTCAGGCTCGGCTCTGCTCTTTTCTTCTCTTCATCCTTCAGAATTCTGCACTTTTTTCTTACTTCATTCAAAAGCCACATTATTTTACTAAATAACAATAATAGGTTAAGGGATTTAAATTCAAATATTTTAAAACTACAAATCCCAGGAAAATCTCAAAGTTAAGTTCACAGACACTTCACAGCCTCATTGACATTGCCACATGAAGCCATTAAAATGCTCCAGTACTACCAGTGAACAGTACCTTGTAATTTTCCCCACTTTCAGAACTGAAACATCATATTTTCCTCCAAGGAATAGCATTAAGATTAATTAATGTCTGAAAGACCTTTGAGGATGAAGATCAATATCAAAGTGCTATTTTCAGGAATCCAGTGAATGAATCAAGCTCTCACTTTAATTCATGTGAGGCATCCGCCTGGTCTCAGGTAAACTCACTCACACGCTTGTTCTTGTTTTTGTAGTAGATATGAATTATTCAGTACTTGCAAAGCACACACAGCTACACACATAAGCTTCTCAGCACTAACAACTTACATGCTTCATACCTAGTACTAAAGTAATAAATAACTTTTCATAAAAGTACAAAAATTACTGGGGTACATGCACTGCTTTGGCCTCTATCAAAACTATACGAGAGAGTGTGTGCACCTGATGCAAAGGGGACAGTTGAAATCCAGCTGGCAGATCTCTCAGATGAGAAATGACAGTAGTATTAAGTTGCATTTAGCAAGCTCCATACATGAGCAAAGAGGATTACTCCTTGATAGAGAAGCAAGCACAATGACTTGCTCAGGAGCCTCTATTAAGCCTGTATTACTGACACAGCGTTAAGGGGTTAGAGCAACATCTGAGAGGCGTGATCCTCTTCTTAGGCCACTAGAGCTTTACATGATGGTAACACGATCAAGACAGCACACACAAAACATGGTCATGGGCTGAGAAACCGTAGAGGAGCCTCCAGAGGCCTGATATCACATGTGCCACCCAACACCCTGCAGAAACCTTCTTCCAAAGCAGCACTCAGCCCCTTGGCTCTTGGCTCACCCCTAAATACACCACATTTAGCTACAGTTGATAACCCAACATTTGAGAATCTCCTCAGACAGATAAGGATGGTGAGGTTTGATTTTCTGTGTTTCAGCAGGAAAGTCACATGTCTACAGCTGCATCCCTGGTTCTGGTGCCCTCCTGAGATATCAGAGTAAGGGGTTGGGGACAGAAACGGACAAACATGCTAGGAGTTAATAAAATGTCCAATGCAGAGAGACCTCCATTCCACTATGCTGAAGCCCAGCTTCCCACCCACACCCCATCAAGACTTTCTCCTTCCTTCCCTTACAGCACCTCTCACACTGAGTTAGCAAGAAGAAACAGAACAATTACAGGGTCACAGGAGGATTATAAAACCCATGTGCTTCACACCAGAAAGCTATTCTTCACCCTGGCCTACACCCAACTGTTGCTAATGTTTTTGAACCCACTCCAACAACCAACTTTTCAGTTGAAGCAGCAAACAGAGAAAGAGAACAGAGGTCAAAATGCTTGTTGAGTATTTACAGGGGTGGGAGTAAGTACACACAGCGTTTCTGTTCCCAGCCCACCTTGGTATTCCTGACGCAGCTGCCAATTTATCATTCAAAACTCAATCCAAAGTGGATTGTGTTTTAGGTGAAATATTTACTTCCTTCTCCCCAGGAGAGGAGAGTGATTTGCTGTAATGTCACAAACTCAGCAGCCTGAGCCCCTGCACAGGACATATTTGCCAAGGAGGGATAAAGAAATCCCCAAACAAACCACCAAACAAGAAGCTGGCCACAGCTTGCTGAAGTGCCAGCTGTCCAAGAGCTTCAGCCCTCTCTGAGGTTGCAGAGGTAATATTTGCCTCAGGTGACACATTCTGATTCAGTAATGGCTGAGAAACTCGCTGGCAGCTGTAAGGCACTAAGTCTGCTGCTGCTGTTTTCCTCCAAACACAGGACCTCAGGTGAGAGCTTGGCTACAATGCTTTATGCACATCAAGGTGTGGCCACCTTTCCCTGCCTACCCCGGCCCCAAGGACCACTGCTGAAGAGGAACCTGCACTGATTTTAATCTGCTCATATGATCAATGTCAAACTTCTTTAGTTTGATATATAGAAGCTTTATTTTAAAACTACCATCTTAAGAAGTCCTGCTATTTGAAATCAAATCCACACATCAAGACTGCAGAAAACCTGGAATGGGTACCAGATATGGACAACTCCAGTCCAATCAGTCACCATCTCACATTTGTCGTTAAGAAAGTCATGAGAACATAGGAAATAACTGTAAACCCTGCCACTGCTTAGAGCAGAACCATTTTCTAATAACTACTAATTGTGAAACAGCTTACTTAGGAAGAGATTGTCCAATAAATCACTAGTCAATTTTCTGATCCACTGGAGATAAGCCATTTACCAAACCTTTACAATAGGAAACAAAAGAGGAAGGTTAAAAATGCAACCAAAAAAACCCAAACCCAAACATTCTTAAACACAAGTTCACATACAGCTGAGAAGTTTAAGAGTCTCTACCATATATTCTGTGCTAGAAGTTATTTCCTAATTCCAGGCACAGGGGTCAAAACGAATGCCAGCTATAAATTTAACTATCAGGCAGCAAGGGACAAAGACAAATCTGAATGACAGAACCATTCCAGATCAAAGAATCAGACTGGCGGACCAAAATACAGGAAACAAAACTGGTGGTAAAGCAAAACAAACAAACAAAAACCACTACCACATCAAAATCAGGATTTATTTGTGTTTCACAGCTGAGCTCTACTACAGAAACAGAGGTTCAAAGGGTTGCCTCTCTCTGCAAACAAAAACCCTCATACATTTGGGGACACAACAAAAAGGATAGTAACAAAAACTTTCAAAGCACTGGCAACTTTCACCTCCACGTTCTAGGCCATCCCAGGATGTCTGTGGCTACACACACACACCCACACACACTGTGACAAGTGCCCACACTGGGAAGTCAGACTGGCGGACTCTTTGCACTTTACCTCAGCCATTTGTTTTTTATTTCAAATATTCCCATAATTTCTCCTTCAAAACTATCAATCTAAATATATTCCTCCAGATTCTTCTGTTGAACAGACTATTAGTAAAAATCGGTATATCGAAACACATAGGCCTGATGTCATCTTTCTCCAGATCAACTTAAAATACCCAGTTTTTCATTTACATGAGAGGCATGTGGCTTGCTGTGATGAAGCTATTGCAGTATTTAAACCACCCCCCCAAAACAGAAAAAAAAGAGCATCTGCACCCACTTCATGGGAAGAAAACATGACATCATGCCCCATTAAGCTAAGCAAGAATATGACAAATCTTGCCCCAGTGAACAGTATCCTTTACTCCTAGCTTCCTCATCTATTAGGAAAATGAGAGCTAAAAATCATGTGTTCAGCACAAAAGAGACAGCTCAAACTCCTATTTTCAATAATAATAATGGAACAAATTCCTACCCGGCTGATAGGAAGAAAACCACATCTCTTCTTCATCTCAAAAATAAAATTCAGTTATTGATTACTGTAATACAACAGAGGAATTGTTTGATTAGACCACAAGGGGAAAAAAATTATGATTGCCTAGAAGGCAAAAAATACAGTTCTGCTTCTTGATATTATCTTCAGCAATTCTTATGTCATTCCCTGTATATTCCATATATATCCATTCTCCATTGCCATTCCCTTCCCCTTTAAAAGGGGGGCACAAGAAGATAACGTGCAAAATTGCAACTGAAAAATGTCTAGCACACCGACACGCAAAAGGACAGGCCAGCTATCAGATCTATGTGCACTGATGGATAAATCCAGGTTTATGTTTCCTGCTCCCTTCTTTCAGCATCATTTTTTCCCCAGCCCTTTCACATCACAAATGCAACATCCATCTGTCCTTCTGATATAAATGGTGAAAGGGTAAAGCTGACCATTAAACACACACACACACAAACCCACATGCTTAATGAGAAAAAGACATTTTCATCTAGGTACTCACAAGGATGAAGATTCCCAATGTGATGCTCCATTTTCTTGTTTTAAAAAAGATGGAAGGCAAAAAAAAAAAAAAGAAGAAAAAAAGAAAAAAAAAAAGGAAAGGAAGTGTTGCAAAATAAAAGGAAATTCCACCCACACAACCCTGCAGCCTGCTGCAAAGAAGCACCGAAGCGTGCTGACGTCAGGATTCATGAATGGATGTAAATCGGGCTGTTCCCAGATTCGGTGAGCGGGAGCAGGGAGCAGGGGGGCAGCCAATCGGCGTGGGCACCGCCGGCAGCCTTCTGCCACCACAGAGCTGGGTACCCACTATCCAGAGCCCAGCGCGGAGCCGCCCCAAGGGGCCAGGCCGTGGTGCTCCCCCACGAGCAGGAAGGGCTGCGATGTGCAGGAGAGGACACTGGAAACAAGTTGTTCATGACCCAAGTGAAGCTGTTGGGTAAAATGGCATCGCTGCTGCCATTCCACAGAGAGGAGCGGGTGAGGACATCCTCTAATGCCTTCAAGTCATTGCTCCAGTGAATCTCTGCCCCTCCGTACGGCTTGGATAACAACAGCCTATCAAATAACAGCCATCTGTTATATGAATCAAATGTATTTAGTAATCAGCAAAGGAGTTTATCATCTCACTGGCTGCTTGCAGGATTACAAACCCTGGGTGTTATTATTAAAATAACTAAATATAAGCATGTACCGGAGGAAGCTGCAGGGAGAACAATAGGAGGCTTGTGTTTGATTAGTGATGCAAAAGCACCAACAAAATAAAAATAGGAGCGCTAACAAAATCACGCATTCAGCTCTCCTCAAACGTTCCCAACAGTGGGCAGACAAGCTCACAACATTGCACACATTCAGAAACAAGAACTGGAGCATGTACAGTTTCACGCTTACAGCTACGTAATAAATGATGGGTACAACATAACCACAGAGCAGCCTACCAGCCATTTTCATTTCATTTTCAATTCCATACCAATGGACATACTTAAAACTGCACAGCAGATGTAAGGAGGCAGGGTGTCATTTTGGGACACTCAAATAGATGGCAATGTCGTGGTGAATGCACAAGAACAGCTATGATTAACTTGGACCTCGACAGGGTAAGAGCATGAGTTTTGCCTTATTTTTGTAGCTTTGAAATATGAGGGAAGGACTGGAGGGATGAGCATAACTAGGAATTAAGGTTAAGGTTTAAAGAAGAATGTAGGCTGTAAGATATGCAATTACACCACCCCAGGGTTTACCAGAATTCACCAATTTGGCCTTTAAAACTCAATCTAAACAATTATTGAGCCAGAATTTCCATACTTTCACCACCTCTTTTGCTAGCAAGTAGGAAGCAGTTATACCAAAATAGGATGTCCCAAAAAGCTACTCTGGTGGAGCACATCTCAGGAGAGCGTCTGAGAGAATCCCTCCTTTCCTTATGAAAACTGGGTAACATCCCAAAATAAACCAGGACTGGATGTAACAACACTGCAGATCTGGGTTTAGAAACCAAGGATTTTGTGCTATGTGAGTGATATCATGTGAGCCAGCACCAGTTATTCCAGTTTGTGTGAAGGGAGAAGGAGGGCAGGATGCAAAAGCCTTCCTGGAGGCCAATACAGCCACCCCTACGGAGACAATGCCTAGCTAAAAATGTATGTGTATGAGAAGATATGTGGGGTTTACATATATTAAGGCAGTAGTTTATATTTTTAATGCATATTTGACATGAAACAAGGAAAGGGACAGCCAGAGCAGTAGTTCTGCATGCAGTTCTTCTCCAGTTATGTTATGTCAAAAGATGCTGCCTGGGAGCTGTTGAACTTCTACATGTGCTTCTTTGCACATCTTCATGTATTAGTTGTACCATAGTGTATTATTCAATACTATCACCCACAAAAAAGTTGCAATGATGGAAATGCATCAGTGTGCTCTAAATTTGACAGCAGCCACAATAAATTGAGCTTTGATTTTGGACTTGGATTTTTTAATTGGGCTTTATAAAGCTGGCCAGAGAAAATTAAAATTAATGCAAATTTCTTGTTATCTACTTTGGAAGCCAAAGAAAGCACAAGTTAGCTTTAGTTGAAGAAATATCCACTGTTTAAGAACTAAAAGTCACAAAACACTAGGCATAAGATTTCTATCCAGGCAATACAACTGCAGACTGAGCACTACTATACAAAAGGAGAAGCAGACGTGCAGGTATGGTGAGACATCTCCTCTTCAAAGGCATCATTTCGCGTCACTATTTCAAACCCCAGTTGCACCAGGGTACTTAGACCTGCTCTGATTCCCTGCTTTCCTTTCCCTTCAGAGCCCAACACTGCTTTTAACTGCCATCACCACGGTGGCACAAGAACAACAGTTTCCAGATTTCCCTGGCATTTTCGGACCAGAAACAAAAATGTTAATGTACTCTCTTACCCTAAAGCAAAAAGGGGTAAGTTCAGGAACTAGAAGGGGGAGCACAGTACCACATGCAATAAGTGGAACAAAAAGAGAAATATTGCTATAGAACAAGAAAAGTCAGAATAAAAATAGAAAGGAAAATAATTTTTGGAGGATTACAACAGTTAATTGCAGTGACATTTAAAAAAAAACAACAACAACAACAAAAAAAAAAACAACAAAAAAACAATCACCCAGCTGGGGAAATAAGTGGGAACAAAACTCCAGGAAGACTCCAGCAGGAGAAAAGAGCTTGCACATACAACTCAGATTTTAATCCTCCATGGTGACTTGGTTCAACATACCAACACTCAATTTCATCTGTGTCTCAACAGCTCAGGTTAAAATCTCCAAACACAAAGGTCCTGAATGTAAAGCAAGCCAACTACTTTAACTTGTGATGGAAAAGGAAAAACAATCATTGGCCTAAAATTGGTGGCCGTCAAAAGATCATGTTGGTAGCCAAATAATATTAGCATTAGAAAACAGGATGGTTGCAACTGATTACATATTTTAACAGTACACATTACATAGTGCATTCAGTGGCAACTAAGTGGATCAGTATCACAAAGAGTAATTATTTTCCTCCTCCTCATTTAGACAAAACCACTAGTAGATGCAGGGAACTGTAGCTATCAGACACCCAAACACAATCCTGTGGGTAAGTTTAGCTCAGTATCAATGTGAAAATGGGAAAAAAGTACAAAGTACAGCAAGGATATTAAAGAAACCCCAAACTTCATGAGGGACCACACAAGTGCCAGTGAACAGTTCAGAGGCAGCAGGATTTCGGAAAGAATACATGAGTAACTAAGTAACTAGACCACTAAGAGACATAGTAGGTAAAAGTGGCAGTAAGGGGTGCAAAAAGGAAAGCTACAAGTAGCTAAAAAGTATCTGTTTGCCACTTTTGAAAAAGAAGATAATTAAGTGCTTTCAAGCCAATTAGCAACTCCAAGGAATGTTATACAGCATCTGCTAGACATAACGTTTCAAGTTGGCACATCATAGTAATTTCAGCCCAGTCCTAAAATAATCATTTAACAAGTTCTCCAACCCCCGTGACCTTCAATTTTAATACCCCTGAAAACTACTAAAATTGCAGAAGACTGAGAATAACAATATTGTGCCAATATTAAAAAGTAGCATACGTTTGCTATTTGTAGTCCTTGGTAACTTGATGCTGAATCCTGGGCAAAAATCCTAATAGCACCTCTGATTGGAAAAGTTCTGCTGCATCACAGCAAAGTCCCATTCATCCCAGTGTCCTGTCTCTGATGGTGACCAGTAACAGACACAAAGGGAAGCAAAGAAAAAAAAATCAAAGTAAATGCCTAACACTTACTGTTGCATATTCCACTAACAAAAGCAGAAAATTAGAAAAGCGATGAAAGTGACTCAAAGGCTAATTCCATAATCATGCATCAATAAGGCTGCTTAGAAACTTATCTGACACACACCTGAAGGTGCAAGAGGGACTCCACTGTAAAAGCTTTCTACCTAGATTAGTAAATAGGTGAGGTGAAACAGCAAATGATTCTCTAACAGGAGAAAGCCTAGGTAAATATTTGCACGGATAGGGTAGCTAGTGGGACATTTTACTGTCAAGTTCTAAAACTCCATGAAATCTTTGATCCGCTCTTCCAAACCTGTAGGCGTACATTCCTCTTCTGAATGTCCTAACCCTTAGCAGTGGGGTGGGCAACGGAAAGGAAAAGGATCATACTGAAACCTTTCACCATCAGATCTTCAGGCTTCTAACCAGGATCTCCCTGGATCTGGAACTTTGAGAAGTCCTCCCTGCACAGGCAGGTGAAGAGGAACTACAATTTGACAGGACCATCACCAAGAGTTAGGAGTCAAGAATTGTGACCAAAGGACAAAAAGACACTCAAAAAGCCCCAAATCTTTTGGCATGTGCAATACCATGAGAACAGGTGAGTTGTAATTTCAGCCAGGGCCATAACTATGAGCCCTGTTTTGAAAGGGAGTCCATTTACAACAGGACAGACATAGTGATTCCAGACCCTGGCTCTGCCTTGCTGCTCCTGTGGCAGCTAAACAGCCACCACCTGGAAGATGAACCCTACACCCATTAAGAGGCTGCCTTTGGAGTAGGATAAATCTAGGATGTACATTTGGGTGACCAAGTTGCTGCTCCACAGGCAATAGGACTATCCCTGGAACAAGGCTTGGACCCTTTCAGATCAGAAACATCAGAGCTTCCTCAGCTCACAAGACAGCATAATAAGTGAGCCATGATGAGAGGTTTACATCTGCTTAAAAATGAAAGCAGAGAGCTTGAGATGGCTGCAAACTCATAGATGTGCAATAGCTTGAGAGAAAGCTACCCGTATAGTCAACTGTCTGCCCAAAAGCTATTCAAACAAACTCACGGACACTTGTACCACCACCCTACAGTCTTCAAATGAAATTGTTACCAAATTCTGTGACTAAAGAGAGGCTTCTTACAACAAAAAGGTCATTCACACAGTTGCCAGTTGTTGGGGGTTTTCTGACTGAGTGTGCCCTGCAAGATATGATGGGTAGGAGCACATAAGACTATATGATGACTTCCTTTAACCTTGTATCGCCTTTATCAACACTCCAGGAACTAAGAGGGAAAAAAATTACACTAAAGGCACTAGAATGACAAGACAAAATGCGTTATCACAGAATGGTTTGGGTTGGAAGGGACCTTAAAGCTCATCCAGTTCCAACCCCCCACCATGGGCAGGGACACCCTCCACTAGAGCAGCTTGCTTGCTTCAAGCCCTGTCCAACCTGACCTTGAACACTGCCAGGGAAGGGGCAGCCACAGCTTCTCTGGGCAACCTGAGCCAGCACCTCACCACCCTCACAGGGAAGAATTTCTTCCTAATATATAATCTAAATCTCTCTTTCAGCTTAAAGTCATTAACGCCTTTCCTTCGTTAAGCCTGAGGCTGGTATACATTCTTTTTTAAGGAGTTTCCGGGTGATTTTCCCAGCACATCTACTCTTTCCAGAGGTGCCCTGATTTTCAGGTTCCTCACAAAGACAGAAGTCTGTGCAGTTTTAGGAAAAGGCATGCCACT